TTTGCTTATTATTTTGACTTTTCTTTGATAAAATAGTATAATGTTTTTTGAAGGAGTATAAATTCTTCTTTTGGAGTACATGATAAAAACTCTTTCTAAAATTTGTACATTTTAAGACTATTATCAAGAAAATATTCTTTCTTAAAGACAACCGTTACTTACTAAAAAAAAAAGTAAATTGAGTAATCGCTTTTTTAAGCAGCACAATTGATATTTTCCTGTATGCATGTACACACGTATGTACATACGTACGCACAAAAAAATGTTCTATGTTGTTAGAAAATTTTATTTCTATTTAAAAAAAGGAGAGAAACTATCATCGCTTAGGACAGGGTCCCGGCGTTACGCGCCGCTCGTGCGAAATCATCGCCGCTTGTAATAAACAACTGCCCGCGCGCCGACCGCGGGGCGGCCGCATCTCGCCGCGCGCTAGGATTTGGCGGAGGGCGGGCTAATACGGCGATTTTTAATCATTAATAACTCGTCAACTATTGCGAAAATTGCAAAATAGTACATGACTTTTCGACTCAGTTTGGCTCGCTCAATCTAAATATGAAAAAAGTACCAAGAATTCAGGAGCACCCTGTATAGAACTCTAGAACTATTCAAAAGAAAGTCAGAACTCTAAAAAAACTTTGAGATTTTTAGGTATGGTGTGCCAAGTTCACAGGACCTTATAAATGTCCTCCTTTTCTCTCGTTTTCTCACGCAGGAACATTTTATATTCAACTATATGGTATACAATTTTGCCGCTATATATTTACCGCAGGGAGCTGATACCGAAGAGATCGTTAAGAAGGAAGGTGTATCCAAAATTGCACATGTATGTACGTATATGCTTTCTTGTAAATTTTAAAAGTTGAAAAGAACGAGAAAGTGTTCTGTAGCGCAATTTGTATTGTAGGCAAGTTATGCTAAAATATTTGTGAATTGAGTCCCTATTATCCATTATTATGATATAATTTTTATCAACAATATTAGAGAAGTAACGAAAATTAATTTGATTAAGTATTCAAAGCAATTGAGAGTTTTTAGCATTAAGTATTTCCATTTTCTCATAATATGCTTAAAAAATATTGCAGGGGACTTGTGAGTTATGCGAAGCAATTGATACTGTTAAGGTTCATTGGTCATATGAAGTTTGCACACGTCAAGCTTGACATCCTAAAGATCACAATGCATTCTGAAAACGATACCGTGCAGGTTTGTTGGCGTATACGTGGTGTCACAGGCTGGAAGGTATTTTATATGTTTTGGAAGTAAAATTTGGAAAATACAACATGCCATAATAAGCGCTAACCAGGAAATGTAAGTGTACTCAGTGCTCTAAACATTCCTTTTAAAAGTAATATAAAATTGTTCTTATAAACATTAATTATATAATTAATTCAAGTTGTCTATTATTTGAAAAAAACTTGATTTTTAGTTTTGTTTTGTATTCTACCTTCAGAAAAAGATAAAATAATTTAGATTTCCTAAAATTAATTTTGTTTATGCTATCGGAGAGAAAACACTTGTTATAAAATTGATTATAATACCGAGACAATTATATATAACGATTTCAGATGGTACAACGGCTTTTTTATTTTTTACGTTAATGCTGAATGGAAAAGTCTATAAGCATATTGCGGACAAGATGATGCCTAATCAGGATACAGCCACGAAAAAGAAAGATATGCGCATGGCAGGGAAATTAGCGCTATTCACAGGCCTTGTATGCATATTTAGTAACAACGAGGATTCTTTGAATTGAACTCTGTCTTAAAATCGCATCAATTGAAGTGAATCCACTGCTGAGTGCTGAAATTATACGATTTTATCCGCCACAACGAATAGACCAAGAGAAATGCTTTTTCCAGTCGATGGTCTCGAATGTTGCTGACGTATCTATTTCGTTGCAAATGCATCATTATGAAATGATGATCGGTAGTAAATGAGAGATATGTGAATTAAAAAGATGTGTACATTAACTAAACAGTATCTTTGTATGATTACAAACTATCTTCATCTAATTTTTTAGTGACAATGTCCGAATAATTTGCGTTAGTATTTCTGTGTAAAAAAATATGACGATTATATTACAGTATATCTGACGATTTTAACATAATTATAGAGGTAGGGTGTCTAAATTGTTATCGTTCCATCCAAATGTAGCTTTTATACTATTCGGATAGTATCGATATTTTATGCTGCTTAGAAACAAGTAAAAAGCATTTTAAGACACTTGTATTGTTTTCAAAATATAAAAACTTGTGTTTAGATTACAGATGTACGTTTTGGGTATTGGCGTATCTATTTCGTTGCAAATGTATCATTGTGAAATGATGATCGGTAGTAAATGAGAGATATGTGAATTAAAAATATGTACATTATCTAACCCTTCATCTGATTTTTTAATTTTAGTAGTGACAATGTCCGAATAATTTTGCGTTAGTATTCCTGTGTAAAAAAATATGACGATTATACGATTATATTACAATAAATCTGAAAAATGTTAGAAAATGAAACAATTGTTTAAAGGTATCCTGTATATCATAGTATCTATTTGCTTTGCCTGTATGGAATGTTAATAACGCGTAAGATAATATAATCATTAAAGTAATATTTCTTAAATTTATATTTCATACTTAATTTTATTTCATAAATACTATCACATTTATTCCTATGAATCGTTTTCATTACGCTATTATGATTTTAACATAATTATAGATGTAGGATGTGTAAATTTATTACCGTTCCATCCAAATGTAGCTTTTAGAGTATTATTTATCGTATCGATACCTTAAGCGGTTTATAAAAAAGAAAAAGTATTTTAAGACGAAAGAGAGATATAGGGATAGAAAAAGAAGAGAAAGAAGGAGAAGAGAACAATATAGAGAAAGGTATAATATATTATAAAGATATTTATTATATTGCAAATATATTTAAATTTATAAATTAGTTAACTTCTTTACATGTACTACTGCTCATTAATTTCAATATACAACAGATTCGTTGATTTCTCTGTAAAGGATGAACATCATGATACGTGTTTTGCACAGAAATGAATGCACTTGCTGTTATAAACATTTCACTTGCATGCAAGTGTTTATAACAGCAAATGTATTCATTTCTGTACAAAACATATGTATCATGTTCATCCTTTACAGAAAAATTAACAAATATAGGAATATATTGAAATTAATGAGCGGTAGTGTATATAAAGAAGTTAACTAATATATAAATTTAAACATATTAGTTAAGAGATGGAGAGATGGGAGGAAGGAAGGGAAGGGAGAAGTGAAAGAAGAAGGAAAGTGGGAGATAGGAAAAAGAGATAAAGCAATGGAAGCGAAGGTAAGAAAGCTAGAAAGGTGGAGAAAGTTAGAAGAGGGAGACAGAAGGAGGAACAATGTAGCAGTGAAAGGGGTGGAGGTAGAGGAGGGAAGGCGAAAGAAAGCGTTAGAAAAGCTATGGCTAGAGATGGGGGAGAAGGGAGTAATAAATTAGGTAAAAGAGATAGGAAGAAAGACGGGGAAAGAGAAGATGATTTTAGTTAGGTTAAAAGATAGAGTAAGAAAAAGAGAGGTAATGCAGAAGAAGAATGTGTTGAAAGGGAGGATGGAAAGAATAAAGAATGACATGACCTTGAAGGAAAGCATCAAAGAAAAATGCAATGAAGCCTAGAGAGGATAGCTGAGAAGGAGAGAAGGAATAGAAGGAGAGATTAGGTAAAGTACAGAAAGATTTGGATAGAGGGGAAGAGGTGGAGTTGGGATGAGGAAAAAAAAGTCCTGATAAGTGGAAGGGGAAATGAGAGAGTGGAGCAAGAAAAAGGAGGTGGGAGAAAGAGGAACAGAGGAGAAGGGAAAGAGTAGAAGAGAGGGAAACGGAAAAATGAAATGGAAAGGTAGAGAGGAGGGAGGAGAAACGATGGGAGGGAAGGGCGGAGAGAAGAGGGAGGAGAGGGAGAGTAGGGAGGAAGAGAGTGTGGTGAGGCTGAGGGGAAGGGGGAAAGGAGTCAGAGAGAGTAGAATGTGGAAAGTAAAAAGGAGTGAAAGAGAGGAAAAAGAGGGACGAGGGGGAAGAAAGGAATGCAGGAGGGAGAAAAAGGGAAAGGAACAGAAAGGAAGCCCAAAGATAGGCTTTTGGGATGTAGCGGGAGTGAAGGGAAAACAGGAAGGGTTTTAGGAAAGGTTAAAAAAGTGGGATGTCGTGGGGTTAGTGGAAACATGGCTGAAATAGGAGGAACGGGAGAAGATGAAGAATAGGGTACCAAAGAAGTTCAACTGAAGTATACAGGGTGCAAAGAAAGAAAGAGTTGGAAGAAAAGGAAGAGCAATAGGTGGAATAATGATGGAAGTCAGAGAAGGGTTAGAAGAGGAAGAAGAATGGGTGGAGGAGGAGGGTTTAATGTTTATAGAAGTAAGATGGAAGGAGAAATGGAGATTGGTAACAGATTACGTAAGCGGCAACTTGGACAAGATGATGGGTAAGATAAAATCGGTAAAAGAGGAGGAAGGGAAAGAGGAGAGATGGATAGTGGGGGCGATTTCAATGCGAGAACAGGGAAGAAAGGAGCGCTGGAGGATGGAGAAGAGGGAGTTAAAAGAAAATTGAAAGATAAAATGATAAATGGGCAGGGGGAAGGGCTTATTAGATGGGTTAAAGAGGAAGAGTGGGGAATTATGAATGGAGCAAAGGAGGGTGATGAGAAGGAAGGGTGAATTTACAGGAGAAAGAGGGGAAACAGTGATCAATTACGCGAAAGGAGATAGGAAGGTTTGGGAAATGATGGGTATATTTAATGCCAGTGTACAGTTTAGCTTCGGTTTATTATAATAAGGCTTACAAAAGAGTGAACATGAATGAAACGTTTCTCGTAGTAGCGGAACGTTGTTACGAGAGAGATATATATATATTGTGCAAGTCATGTAGAAGAACATAGAGTAGTTCGTTGATAGAACAGAAAACATACCATTGAATATATGATCAAGTTAGTTCATGAAATTGACGATAGATCGCACCACTCTCTACGCTCCCACTCGAGCTAAATGTCAATTACATTATGTTTAACTGATTTCGATTAATTTCAAACTTTTTGCGAGTTAAACCTTTGGTTAAAATGTCAGCAAATTGCATTTGAGATGAAACATGTTGAACATCCACTATCCCCTGCTTGAACAAGTCGCGTACATAGTGATATTTCACTTCAATGTGCTTAGATCTCTTATAGAAGACAGGGTTTTGAATCAGCTTCTCTGCAGCTGCGTTGTCACAGTAGAGAGTAGTAGAGCCTTGCTGTTCCACACGGACGTCCTTGAGTAACTGTCGAAACCATACGACTTCCTTAGCTGCGTCATGAGCAACTACATATTCTGCGTCCGTTGTTGAAGTTGCCACTATGCTTTGTTTCCGAGACATCCAGGCTACTGGTCCATTGTTCAACATAAGTACAACTCCACTGATACTCTTGCGTGTATCCAAGCATGATGCAAAATCTGCATCTGAGTATGCAATAAGTCGATTGAAATTGTCATCTCCGCCATTATACACAATCCCCAAGTTGATTGTTGATTTCAAATACTTCAGTATTTGTTTTGCTGCTACCCAATGTTCGTTAGATGGTGCCTCCAGGAATCTGCTTAAAGAGTTGACCGCATATGAGATATCAGGTCTGGTTCCGATAGAGAGATACATCAAGGAACCAATCAACTGTCTGTATGGTACATTTGCAATCGGTCCAAAGCTTTCATTAGCATCTAAGTTACGCTTTAACTTAACGCCAGGATCGATAGGTACCGTGGCACCATTGCAGTCTAACATACCGAACTTCGTGAGCACAGATCTTGTATAAGCCTCTTGAGATAGTTTAATCTTCTTAGATTTTCGATCTCGATTCCCAGATAGCAGGATGCAGTTGAACTTGTAATCTCAAAGTTTTGTTGCATTGCTTTCAGTAAGTCATCAATCCTAGACTTTGAATGACCAACCGCCAGCCCATCATCAACATACAATCCTACGAACAGATCTTCACTGATGTACACACATGGGTCAGCATCTGATGGTTTCAAACCGAATAGTTGCATGAATTCGTCAAATTTTTCATACCATTGTCTAGGCGCTTGCTTGAGCCCATACAAGCTCTTGTTCAATTTACATACGCGACCTGAACAGTCATCGAAACCTTCTGGTTGCTCCATATAAATGGTTTCGTCAAGATCGCCATACAAGAAAGCCGTCTTGACATCCAATTGATGAACTTCGTAATCTTCAACGGCTGCAATCAAAAATAATGTTCGAATAGAATCGAATCTGGCAACCGGCGAGAATGTTTCAGAGTAATCTACTCCAGCCTTTTGTGAACACCCTTTTGCCACGAGACGTGCCTTGAAACGATCAATCGAACCGTCTGGATTTATTTTTACTCGAAAGATCCACTTATTCTTGATTATTTTTCGATTTTCCGGAGGATCTTCCAGTGTCCACGTGTCATTTTTAATCAGCGACTCATACTCGGTCTTCATTGATGACTCCCACTGATCCTTGTAAGGTCCCGACTTAGCTTCATCAACTGTATTTGGAATAACAACTCCAGCTAGAAAGGCACTTGCAGCTGTAGCGATGTTTACAGTAGCTCGGCTGCGTGTGCGATTTGCAATACACTTGTTGACTTCAGTTTCCTTTAACTTGTTGCGCGTCCGATCGCTTATGTTGTCGACTGATTCAGCTCCTTTTGATGATGTCGACACATCTGATTTACTTTCGAAGTCACTTTGCGAGTTGCTACTTGATGATCCATCTTCTTCAACATCTGTTGTCTTCACGATGACAGCCTGCTTTCTTGGTTCTGGTTCGACAATCTTGACATCCCGACTTACAATAACCTTCTGAGTCCCACGTTGCCAAACACGATATGCTTTTTGTTTTGGCGCATACCCTACTAATACGAGCTCTTGACTCTTCTTCTCAAATTTTGATCGTCTTTCGTTGATCAGAGTGTATGCCTTGCTGCCTATAATACGTAGGTACGAAACATTTGGCCTATTTTTAGTCCAGGCTTCCATAGGAGTTTTGCCTCCTAGTCTCTCCAACGGG